CACGGCGACCAGGCCCATTTCCCACCCCCTCTCATATCACAAACCAGTAATAGCTGAGATCGTGGTGGAGTCTCTAGGGGAGAGGGGGAAAGGTTATTTTAAGTTAAACTCCCAGAATCTAGAGGAGTTGGGTCTGAGGGAGTGGGTTGCAGAGCATATGGAGGCCTGAAAGTCGGCAAGACCGCATTTTTCCTCTACTGCGGAATGGTTGGAGGGGGGGTTAGCCACCATCTCGGAGATGGTGGATGTCTCCTCGCGGATTCTGGCTAGGGAACGGAACAAAGAAGAGGAGGATTGCAGGAGGGTTGTGGATTCGGCAGAGAGAAGGATGGAGGCTCACCCCATTTCGGAACTGGTGTGGACCAGAGAAAGGAAAAAGCGCTTGGCAATTTGGAACAGGCTGCAACTGGACAGACAGGGGAGATGGGAGGAAGCTCTGAAGCTTAAGGGTATTATGGTACAAGATCGACTTACCAAGGAAACATTCCGCAAGCTACTACCGAGCGCCTCATTCCACCAGGTCGTGCAGCTAGACCACCCGTTTGATCAAACGGCTCCTCCAGCCACAGGGTCAATAGAAATGCTTGAGTACGCAAGGCTGTACTACTCAGATATCCTAACCTCTCGCAGGTTAGAGGACACAGCACACTCAGACCTCTCTCAAGAGGTGGATATGTGGAAGGACACAGAGGTGAAGCTGACCACAGCGAAGAAGCTGGAACTGGACAAACCGGTGACCTCAGAGGAATTGCAGCATACACTCAAGGCAATGGCGAATGGCAAGTGTCCGGGTGTTAATGGGCTGACAATAAAGTTTTATGGAGCGTGTTGGGGGGCGTTCGCACCTGCGTTAGTAGAGGTATACAACGAGGTGTTAACAGGAGGCAATCTGGGAGAGATGATGACCCATGGAGTCATCTCAATGATGTTCAAGAAAAGTGACAAGGCCAATGTCAGAAACTACAAGCCGATGTCGGTTCTCAATGTAGATTATAAGATTCTAGCCAAGACGCTAGCCATCAGACTAGGGAATATTCTCCCAAGATTGATCGAGAGGGACCAAGGGGCGTTTGTTCAGGGAAGGTCTATTTTTGTAAATATTTTGACTGCTATTGAGTCCATCGAGGTGGTACAGGCGGAACACAGGGATGTTGCAATTTTGTTGTTAGACATGGAGAAAGCGTATGACCGGGTGGGCTGGTCCTTCGTTCGCACCACTTTGGCGAGGGGTTCTGCAGATGGGATATTGCCTTGTACACCTTCTCAACCTCTTCAGTTTTGGTTAACGGCCACTTATCCCGCCCCTTCCAACTCACCCGCTCCCTAAGGCAAGGCTGCCCTCTAGCCCCCCTCCTCTTCGTCCTTCAACTGGAGGTGCCTCTGAACTGCATTAGGAAGCACCCGCTGATTCGGGGCCTGAGACTGACAGAGTACAGAGATCGTAGGGTGAAAGCCCTAGCTGATGATCTCTTTATAGTGACAGAGAACACCCATTCCTCCCTGGTGGCTATCAAGTCAGTTCTAGTAGACTATGCTCAGCTATCGGAAGCGCAGGTAAACTGGAACAAATCCACCTACCTCCTCCCTGCAGATCTCTCCCTCCAAGTTCAGTGGGGCATGCAGCGTGTAGACCCACCGAAAGGTGAACGCTTCCTGGGGGTACTGGTCAGCACACAGATTATGAGCTCAGCGCAAGGTCTCATTTTAGAACACAGAGTAGCGGCTAGACTAGAAGCCCGGGGCTCGACTTGGCATCTTTCTCTGTTTGGTAGGGCCTTGGTGGTTAATGTGGCCTTGTTCACCCTATTGCGGATCGTAGGCTCGGTCAGGGAGGTGGCAGATACCGTGTTGTCAGTGATTAAGAGGCTGGTGTCCAGGTTTCTGTGGAAGCCGCGGCCCCGAGCATTGGCGGAATAAGGGTTCCTAGTCAAGGTGGCGTGGGAGCTGGTAACTTACCCCAAGGACCAAGGTGGTCTACGCCTGATCGACCCAAAAAGGAAGAATCAGGCCCAACTCAGAGCCTGGGTAGCGAAATTGGCCATGGCTTCTCACAAGGACGACTGGATCCTGTTGGCAGAAAACCTGTTGATGAGGGAGTGGCAAGTATCCCGACCGGAAGACGTACGGGGAGGAGGTCAAAGCCAGTCTGCAGAACCTTCGGTATGTGGAGACAAACTGACGAGCGCTTATTCAGGCTGTCCCCCCTGATTGGGCAGCCCTGCTGGGCCCAGAAGGCCTTGACCCCCCAGGCACCTGGTATGCAGGTATCACCTCAGACAGTCAACCGGCCGCATAGAAGTTACTCAGCCTAACCACGTCCGGCTTCAGAGAAGTGCAGAACTGGAGGGTAGCGAACGCGAATGGGGTGCTAGAGTACATTGAAGATTTGACAATGAAGGAATGGGTCAACCCCCCGCAGATTCGAGTGGTGGAACAAAAAGATGGATACGGGCGGGTGATACAGTCTCGCTGGGTAGGGAGGGTCCCACTCAGAAAGTTGTTTATAGACCCTCTAACCTGGTGGTGGAAAGGTAACCAAAGATTGTCGGCGACTTCTCAAGGGATGGGCCTAACCGACTTTTCCACACAGGAATCTTATCGCCTAGTGGACAAGAGGACCAGATCACCAGCTTCGGTAGCGATTTCCCGCTGGAGCGCAGTGCTGTTAAAAGACCTGCAAGGAGCGGAGAGTGAATTCAGGAAGCTCTGGAGCATCCTCCTGGAACTACCAAACGTTAAACAGGCCAGCCTCTTATGGATGCTCTCCATGCTGGTCACTCCCTCGGCGGTGTGGCTCTGTGGAAGGGGTGTGGAGGTTTCCTTAAGGTGTACCAGATGCACAAAATCCCTAGAATCCACCCGCCATCTTTGGTGGGACTGTCCGGCTTCGAGGCGAGTATGGAGCTGGTGAGCCCAGCACTGGCAACAAACGGGAGGAAAGGATGTTGTGTGGGAGGAGAGATGGGTCTTGCTGGGGTTTCCTTCGGAGAGTAACACTGGGAAGAGAGGTTGGGCCTACGTTGCGCAAGTGGTAAGGGCGGTTATCTGTTCAGTCATCTGGGCCGATAGAAACCGTTCCCGATTCTGAAAGAGATCCTACTCGGATATCGAACTCAAAGCGGCCATCAAAAAGGGCATTCGACAAGCAATCGTTATTGACTGGAGAAGACGGACCAAAAAGGTTTCTGCATCTAGGCCCAGACTATGGTGGTTTTTGAGAACCTGGGCAATGGAAAACAGGCTGGCGGGTGTGCATAGATCAAGAGGGCTGGTCCTGTCCAAGTGGTTGTTTGACCCTCCTTGAGGTCTTAGCTGTAGGCGACTACGTGGTAGACAGTAGTGCCCACCTCGTCCAACCAGGGCAGTCGATTGTATAGGGTCGCGGTAGACCTCTAAGCGAGTGTCTAGAAAGTAGGGTAGGTAGGTGTCCAATGGGTCGGACTAGTCCCATCTGGTCACAACCTAAAGCTAGGTAGCTATGAATGTTTGTTCAATATGCTCTATATTTCAACGACACCTTTCATCAATTGGCATCTTCTCATGATGAGATTATTCAGAGGTTAAAGAGGTTTTCAACATAGAGCTACTACTCATCCCCACCATCTTCAGATCAGTACGTAGGTAACTTTGAAAAGTCTCTAGCCGACTTTCTGCAGGTCTAGCTTGTAAGCTAAGTTGGCTGATGCTGTCAGTAATCACCGGGTTGAATTGTGAGGTCCCCGGCCTCGATGGTTAATTTGTAAGGAATGAAAGGAGGATCCTCACAATTCGACTCGGGGGGAAAAAATTTTAAAAATTAAAAATTAAAAATTATTTCCAAACGAGGTCGGGGATCCTCACAATTCGACCCGGGGGAACACACTGACAGCATCAACCAGCTTAGCTTAGGCCTCAGAGGGGTACTTTAAACTAGGCACAGTTCCGGTCCCAAGAACCTCTGTCCTGACTTTCTCTCTCTGAGCATAAAATAAAACTGCCTCCAAGGTCAACAAAACTGCCTCCTTGCATATAGGTGAGGGGATATGGTAAGGCCACCTGTGAAGACTTATGTTGGGTAGGAGGAGATACGATTACATAATATTGGTGAAAATGCAGAGTCGTGTGGTGGTTTGATCGCAAGATGTGCAGAGGTCGAGGCGGGTTACCGGTTCTGGTTGTTTACAATTGTTAGGGGGCGGGGTTCGAAGTAGGGACCTCTGGATGTGTTGCCTTTTGTTTTTCCGGACGCAGAACTGTCGGTATTTTCTATGAAGTTAGGAAGTGGTACCTTTTGAGGTGGATTCGAACTGACGATGTGAAGGGTTAAGTTCTAGACTTTATTTTCAAGATAGTTTTTTCTGCCTTTTATGATTTTATTTTTAGTTTTAGGAACCTTGTAGTTTTGAGTTTCCGATTCCTTTTTATAGGATCAGTCAGTTCGTTTCCTTACCGACAGACCCCTGATGAGTGTTGGCATTGGCGGCCAACCGGAACCGGTCGGGTCGCTACGCCAACCGAGTGCTTGCATTTGGACTGTTCTTCATGTACTTTTTTCGTATTCGTCGCGTCCGGGATTTTGACTTGACTTGATCGGTGTCTCCCCCTCTCCTCTCCCTTGTGCTTGTGTCCTCTATGCATGATGATTGTTGACGTCTGTCTTGGCTGTGGCTTGGCTGCACATTGAAGGTCTTGTGAAGTATCGTCGTTCTCGACAACTTCCTTCCTCGAAGTAACCGTCGTAGAAATAGTACTACGTACGTGTGGCTTTGTGTTACCTTTCGGTGTTAGATCATGGCGCATAATGGAGGTTAGCCGTTAGCAGTTCGGTCGTGTTATAACTGTGGGCAACCTAATCATCTCTCCCATTTCTGTCCCTTACCTGACCGACGGTTTAATTTCTCTGTTGATGCTGCTGCGGCACCCTTTAATCCTAGTACTGCGATTGTCACGGTTCCTAATACCTCGGCTGTCCATGTTCCTTTTCACGGTGGCTCTGGTGGGTTTGGTGGGTCTGGGTACGGGTATGGAGGAGGGTTAAGGCCTCGTGTGGAGAATTTGGAAACCACGATTGCTGGCATCAAGGCGCACTAGGATGCAGAGATTACGAAGGAACGGAGTAAAAAGGAGGAAGAAGAACGTATTAAGAAGGAGCATGAGGAAGAAGAACGAATATTTTGAGAGAAGAAGGCAAGTGAAGATTTTCAGGCAAAAATGAAGAAAGAGATCAGCAGTAGACTTGACTCAATTAGAGAGCTGCTCGAGAGCAAGAAGGGGAATGGCGACGATGAGGTTGCCAAGTTGCGTTTGGAAATTGAAGGCTTACCGAAAGCATTACGCGATGGTCAAGGTGCATCGACGTCCGAATGCATTTTTGATAAGTATGAACGTGAAATTGAGGAAGAAAGGGCCAGGTCGGATCGCGGACTTACTGCAATGGAAGGGGAGATCGCAAGGTTACGGTCAGCCAATGAAGAGGCCGTTGTCGCAGCTGATGTTTGGAAGAGTGAAGCGCTTCGCCCTGGGAACAAGCGTGGGAGTATCGTTGTTACCGCTACGCCGGTGCCTGGAGTACGAACTCGAGCTCGCACGGATTCTTTACTATCACCGTCTGTGGAAGATCTGAAGCTCAAGGAGAAGGTAGAACATCAAGAGCATGAGATTGAGCTCCTTAGGGAATGGCGCCTTCGTGAGCTCAAAGGTCGTCGCGAGGCAGAACAGGAGTTGAAACTACTTACGGAGAAGATGGCGATGCTCGAAGTGGAGAGACGAACTCCTACGGCTTCAAACCTGAAGGCTCAGATGGACAAGGTAGCCTCAACGGCGGAGAAAGGTAAGAAACAGCTCAGCCCGGAGGCAATGGCGATTGAAGCTAATGATCGAGAAACCTTCCTTCAAGAAACCAGAAAGATGTTGAAGCCGCTCAAGAAAGAGAAGATCGTTGCGCTCTGCGCGAAAGAAGGCGTTTCCTATTCTACGTTGGACAAGACCAAGGAAGAGTTGGCGCTAAAGCGCGCTGAGAAGGCGTTTGGTCCTGTTAAAGATCGTGCCGTGAAGAAAGGTGGGGTGGTTATTCATGAAGTTACCGATGGTGACGAGCCAGGTGACGGTAGTACCGAGGTTAACTGTGATTCGGCCACTTCTTAGGTTCAATCCCGGACGCGTCGTGGTTTGGGAGTCTTTTACGGTGTTGCATGCAGTTTCGATCGTCGTCCTGTGAATGGATTTGGAGCAGGCCGCTTAACTCTCTCCTTTGCTTGACCGTGCTATCGTTGATTGATCTGGGGCAGATTCCGTGGGTTGTGAAGCTGCGTGGTTTTCTTTCGAATGTTGTCACCGGTGGTTTTGACTTTGAAAAGACGGATGATCCGCTAGTCTATGCTTTGGTCTCTCCATGGTGCCGACACATTTACATTGGTAGTACTAATCGTGATTTGCATACTAGGTGGGGAGAGCATGTCTATCGAGCGAGCGATACAGGGGGTGGTGACAGAACCCGGAGGAACGAGAAATTGTATCGGTGGCTTCGACGAATTGGGATTCATAAGTATGTCGCTATTCCTCTTTGTGTTTCCTCCGAAGATGAAGTACGTTCGTGTGAGAAATTTTTTATTTGATTGTTCTCTCCTTCGTTGAATGTCCGTGACAACGCTCGTAGGTCGAAACAATCTCGTCCGTGGCTAAGAGAACGCAGGAAGAAATTTAAGAGGAACCAGTTGATTGCTGCTGAGTCGATATCGAGAGGCAAAGGGTTGATTAAATTGTTTTCAAGTACGGGTGATAACACGTACAGTCTTCTGTCCATTCTAGAGAAATATCGTGAGAATTCGATTCACCGGGTCGTCGTTTATTGTCGAGGGGGTGATGTGTTTACGGATAGGTGGAAGATTCTGAAGCGTATGTACGGTGGTTTTATTGTTTCTTGTGTGTTCGGTCTGGGGTTGTTTCGTCACGCTCGAGGGTGGATTCGAGATGGTGTCGTTCTTACTTTCGATTCAGTAGTACCCTTCCTTAGTCGATCCCTGGCCCTCAAACCGTCACTTATCCCATTACTTAGGCACCCCCCCTCTCGCTTGTTGCTTCGATCTTGGTCATTTGACTCTCTTGTTGTCGCGTATACGGCAGTCCGTACTTTTCATGAGAAACGCTTACGGGGAAGACTTAGGTGCATTTTGTCAAAATGTATCTTGGTGAAGTTCGGAGTGCACATTCGAGAACGATTAATTGTGAAATTAGTTTATGATGATTGTATTATGAAATCGGAGGTCTGGAGAATCTACGGGCGTTTGATATTTGAACGCGAAATCCCAGTGGTATAGAAAGAGATGCTTGTGCGTCGTATGCGAGTAGTCTGGTGTAAGAATCGTACTATTGGGGACTATCTTCATAATTTTCGCAAGTTTGCTAAGAGTGGTTTTGCTGAGTGCCGTTGCGGTTCGGCTGTTGGGGGACTTCCTACTCACCATGGGCATGTATCTTTTCGAATTTTGGAGCTAGATTTGTTTCCTTTTTGGATGAAAAATAGTAAGAATATCTTGAGGCCATCTCTTCGTAATTCCTCCGCTACTCTCAAACGGGAGATTCTGGGAGTTTTTCACTCCCATTCTTCTCTTCCCCCTCTGAATTCTTATTCCTCTGTGTTTAATGATTTTTCTTCTTGTATGAGCTACTCTGATGTCTCGTCGACACCGGCGCTTACTTTCAGTGAGGATGATGTTCTGCCTTCTGAGAGGTTACGGGGATTGGTGTGCTGCCCTCTCGATCACAATATGGGCGACACTTATGTTTGCTGCCCAGTGCTGTATCGATCAGGTATGGATAAACTGTTTCTGAATAATCCGTCCTTCTCGTTGTGTAACTCTGACGAGCGATGTGTGATTAATGACATGGCAACAAGGTACAAATCTGAGAAGATGGAGGATGTGGGGAAGTGGAAAGTTGACGGTGAATTTGGGCGGACATATTGTTTGCCCAAACACAAAGATACCGATCGATGGAGACCCATTTGTCCCTCCTATCATGAGCCGTCGACAGTAGGGGGGGGGTTATATCTAAGGTAGTGAACTGCATGTTGTGGGGCCTGCCAGGGAGATCTAACCTCAATTTGAGATGTACGGAAGATTTGGTGTCTCGGTTGGTTGATATGAATAAGAGTGTAAGGAAGGGAGAAGGTTTAGTGGGTGCGTCTTTCGATGTGAAAGAAATGTTCTCTAACCTTTCCCACCCATCTATTCTCTCGGGAGTATCGTGGATTATTGACTTCTGGGGTGACAAGGGATATAAGGCAGTAATGGTTAAGAAAAGAGGGAGAGGAGCCAAAATGGCTAAGAATCGAGGTGAAGAAGGCTGGTTTACGGTGGAGTTGCGAGCTATCCTTTCTTTTGTTAAATACGAACTGCAGAATACGTATGTAGTAGCTATCGGGTATGTACTGAAGTAGGATGTTGGCATTCCCATGGGCAAGTCCTCCAGTCCGGCTCTGGCCTGCCTCTTATGTGCATTCAACGAGTTTCTCTTTCTTTCGTCTCTCGGGTTTGACCGCGTGTCCTTTAATGGACTGCGGTTAGTGGATGATGTGTCGGTTTTCGTAAGATACCAGAAGGGGGATAAAGAATCTTTAAGACGAGCCATGCATATTATCAATAGGTTTCAGGAAAGTTATGACAATAAACTGATGCTGGAGCAAACTAATATTGGTGATAGTTGGGACTACCTTGGGTGTGTGCTAAAGATCTTCAATGGTACAAACGAAGTAGTGAGCTTGCCGATTCATGAGAATCAACGGGTAACCGTGAACGAACAGTTGACCTTTCAGAGTATCCAGGATTATTGCTCCTTTTCAAGTACACAGCAGAAGACGGCGGTTGTAGGTTCCTTTCTGCATCGTGCCCGACGTTTTGCGACTGTACCAGGTACAAAACTTCCCTTCCTTTTCTCCTTGAAGATTGAGCTTTGGAAGCGGGCGTATCCCAATGATATTTTCGATGATACATTATGCAATTTTTCTCGGAAATTTGGAGGATTGTGGTGTCAATGGCGCCTGTGCTTACAGGGTGGAACAGGGTCTGTCGGCCCTAGTGGCTGCTTGGGTCGGCCCTTGGTTATTTTTGTTTTCCATATTGTTTCCTGTGATTGAAGTCGTGTTGTGATTCCTCTCCTCCTGCCGCTTATAGGCAAGGGGATATGGTATGGCTACCATTGATGACTTACGTTGGATAGGAGGAGATACGAGTACATGATATTGGTGGAAGTGCAGGGTGCTGTGGTGGTTTGACCGAAAGATGTGCATATAGGCGAGGGGATATGGTAAGGCCACTTGTGAAGACTTATGTTGGGTAGGAGGAGATACAATTACATGATATTGGTGAAAATGCAGAGTGTGGTTTGATCGCAAGATGTGCAGAGGTCGAGGCGGGTTACCGGTTCTGGTTGTTTATGATTGTTAGGGGGCGGGTTACGGACGCAGAACTGTCGGTATTTTCTGTGGAGTTGGGAAGTGGTACCTTTTGAGGTGGATTCGAACTGACGATGTGAAGGGTTAAGTTCTAGACTTTATTTTCGAGATAGTTTTTTCTGCCTTTTATAATTTTATTTTTAGTTTTAGGAACCTCGTAGTTCTGAGTTCCCGATTCCTTTTTATAGGATCAGTCAGTTCGTTTCCTTACCGACAGACCCCTGATGAGTGCTGGCATTGGTGGCCAGCCGAAACCGGTCGGGTCGCTACGCCAACCGAGTGCTTGCATTCGGACTGTTCTTCATGTACTTTTTCGTATTCGTCGCATTCGGGATTTTGACTTGACTTGATCGGTGTCTCCCACTCTCCTCTCCCTTGTGCTTGTGTCCTCTATGCATGATGATTGTTGACTTGTGTCTTGGCTGTGGCTTGGCTGCACATTGAAGGTCTTGTGAAGTATCGTCGTTCTCGACAGCAACAAACCGACAACCCAAAAACTGAGAAAGGTCCTAAACGATCCTAAAAAGCTCTAATAGACATTCAATCAATTACCTTTGACAAGAAAATGACTGTAGGGTATAAACGCAACCCTACGGGCCGGTCACGCTCGCTGTGGGGGTGAGATTTTCAGATCGGATGGAAGGGGCCCGTGGATACTCGAAACCAGGACTAAACCTTTCCAAGTGGGGCATAACTGTGGCTCCTTGGAATGACATATGGGGACGGCTCTTTGCACGCGCCTCCGAACGCGCCGTCGAGCTGCCGGCAAACAGCCGTCGCGGTGACGAGGGTCTCTTCCTCTTCTCTCTCTCTCTGTCTGTGTGCCCGCGGTGTCGTGCYTGAAGATGTGGACAGGGAGTTCGCGCGGCGTGGCGATGTGAGCCCTCTCTCCCTCCGTCCCTCCCTCCCTCCCTCCTCCCTTCCTCCTTTCTCTATCAGAGGTGTTTTGCGTGAAGCGTGGAGAGTTCCGTTCACACTCGGCCCAGAAGTGAAATAGGTGGGTTTGCCTGGTGTGGCGGCGTGTGTGTGTGTGTCTCCTTCCCCCCCCCCCCGCATCCCCCCTGCCTCTACATCCCTCCTTCCCTCCTCCTTCCCTCCATCCGCCCATTCGTTGTGTGTGTGTGTGTGTGTGTTTGTCTCCTTGCCCCCCCTTAGTGCCCCCTCCCTCTACATCCCTCCTTCCCTCCTCCCTCCCTCCATCCGCCCATTCGTTTAGGGGGCAAATCATTTTTTTGCGGGGGTGCTATGTTGCAAGTGGGACAGGACTTGTGTGCACGGTCGCTATCGCAAGGAGTATGCGGGGATCATGCCGTGAATGCGGAGAGGCAAGTGGAGAAGGAACAGTAGGAGGAGGTCAAGCGCCTGGTCAGGCAGGCAGGAGCAGGACGCCATCGAAAGCTTGAGGGGCTGGTTGGAGTAGCAGAGGAAGGACGAAGGGGGAGGGTGACGATGCGGGATCAGGAGGAGGAGCATGCACGGTAAGTTTGCCGACGTCAAGGAGGTTGTGTAGGGGGACGGGTGTAGGGGGAAGACGTGGAGGAGGGTCCTAGAATAAATGGGAGGAGGACGTAGGTCGGGAACCCAATTTGTGAAGAAGGGGATGAGGAGCGGGGATTGGGAGGGGGGGTCGATCAGGATGTGGGACTCTGAGAGGAGGAGGAGGAGGTTGCAATTTCAGCCACTCACAGTGAGGATTGGGAGGGGGTCGATCAGGTGAGGAATGCAGGTCGTGTAGGGGGGTACGGACTAAAAGGTGAGGGGCTCAGTGTGGAGGGAGGGGGGACAGGTTGTATGGAAAGGAGAGAGCAGCGTAATGAAGAAGGGCCTGAATCGCGAGAGGGATAAGGTAAAGGATGTGATGGAGAGAGAGAGCAATGACAATGAGGTTGGAAAGAGTGACAGACAGGAAGAGAGGAAAGGACAGTGAAGATGCGCAGGGGGTCATCGAGTATGGAGGAGCAGAAGCTCGTAGAGGATCCCAACGGAGGAGAGAGCCGCGGAGAAAGAAGGGAATAGAGAGGCTACAGACGCAGGGCAAGGAGAGATGAGGATGGGGAAAAGTGGATTGCTGGGCGAAGGTCGGGAAGAGAGAATTGAGGGTACAAGTTGAAAGATGGAATCGAACAGGCGGAGTGGAGGCAATGGAGAAGGAAGAAAGAGACAAGTTCGATCGGGTAGGGAAGAATGAGAGCGTGAGTGTGTGTGTGTGTGTGTGTGTGAGAGAG